AAGTGCTCTGGAAAGATGGCTCAGCTGTTAGGAGTACTTGTTTGTCTTGCAAAGGCTCCAGCTAGGTTGCTACACCTGTATAATGGCTCACAATCACCTGGAATTCCAGGCCCAGGGCATCTGGTGCTCTTTTCTGGCCTCTCCAGGCACCAGGAACACGTACGATATGATACATACACGCAGACCAAACATTCAGACACATAAAAATAAACACAAAAAAATTAAAATGATATCTGAACCTGGTCTGTAGAACATTCCTTTAAATCCTAGCACCTGGAGACAGGGGCAGGTAGATCTCTATGAGTTCAAGGCCAGCCTGGGCTACATAGCTAGTTTTAGGGCGGCCAGAGCTACATAATGAGTCTCTGTCTCAAAATGAAATTAAATTAAAATGTATGTGAGCCAGGTATTGTGGTTCATGCCTGTAACCCCAACACTTGGGAAGCTGATGAAAACTTGGGGGCCACAGTCTGGGATTGGGGTGGGAGAACATTCTAGTAGAGGAATGGGCAGCATCTTCAACATCTTGCAAGGCCAGTGTAGCCAGCACCAGAGAGGGAGAAACAGATAGGATTGAAGACCAAGCTGCCTTGAACTCACAGAGATCTTCCTGCCTTTATCTTGAGAGTACTGGGTTTGAAGGCATGTGCCACAACACCTGGGTTTCCTCCCTCCCTCTCCCTCCCTCTCTTCCTCCCTCCCTCTCTTCCTTTTTTCTTTTTTTTCTTTCTTCTTTCTTTCTTTCTTTTTTTTTTTGAGACAGGGTTTCTCTGTGGCTTTGGAGGCTGTCCTGGAACTAGTTTTTTCCTCCCCACCCCCCCAGACCACCACCTGGCCCTCTCCCTTTCTTTCTTATGGTTTATCATAGGGGTGTGTGTGTATGTGTGTGTGTGTGTGTGTGTGTGTGTGTGTGTACCTGTATGAGTTATACATCATAGACATGCTGGAGTCCCCAGAGGCCAGAAGAGGTTGCTAGATCCCCTGAAGCCAGAGTTACAGGTGGTTGTGAGCCATGATATAGGTGCTGGGAACCAAACTTGGGTCCTCTGCAAGAGCAGTAAGTGCTCTTAACCATAGAGCTGTCTCTTCAGCCTCAACTTTCATACTTTTGTTTTTGTCTCTGGATCCTCTTCTAAGCATGACTATTTGTGAGTTCAAAAGACCAAAGAGCGACATGGGAACTTGGAAGATGAACCTGTGGGTAAAATGCTTCTCATGCCAGCCTAATGACCTGAGTTCAATCCCTGGAACCCACAGAGAGGTAGAAGCAGACAGCTGACTCCACACAGTTCCCTCTGACCTTCACACTCAACCTGCATCACACACAAATAAAATTGAATTTTAAATTTAAAAATTGAAATATAATAATAATCATCATAGCGGTAATAATAAGAAATGACCCATATGCCACTTGTATTTCACTAAGTCACACTGACATTATGAAATGTTCTCGGCCCTGACTGAAATCGTTCCCTCTCTGCACCTGTTTGAAGGTACCATTGCCAGCTCCTATCTTAAGAGCCATGGGAAGAGTCTAACCACGGTGCAGCTGGGGGAGGCTGGTGACCCGGTTTTGTTTACATTTTTTGATAAGTTACTCTGGCCTCCTAGTGTAGAGTTCAGCAGAGTGCCATCCCACAGGAAGGCAGGGGAGGCTATGGAGGTCACATGGAGGTTGGAGGGGTCAGACAGCTTCGAGGTTCTGACTTGGGCAGCGGAGAATGGGGAGCCAGCTGGTGGATTCCATCAGTGCCTGCACAGGTCCCACCCTTCAAGAAGCCTTTCTTCCTTCTATCTCCCTGTGCTGACGCAAGTCCTTACCTCCTTACCAGATAAATGTAGCTTTTTCAAGCCTCCCATCTTTCTATCAGCCCCAGGGCTGCCGGACTCAGGACCGTCTGTCTACTGCATGTAAGAGCCCAGCTTCCTGGCTAGTTCAGGCTGACGCCAGTGAGAACTACGGGTGACAGCTGGACTCTCAAGTCTCTTCCATTGACTAACTACCTCTGTCAGGAACTAAGGAGGGTACATAATTCTTGTCACCTAAACACCGATGGCCTGTCCACCTCTGTGGCTGAATTGGGATAAAAACTGAGAACATCCAGGGGGTGTAGGAAGGAGGGAAATCCTTCACTGGAGTCTTGTTGAAGTCTCTGAATAGCCAAGAATCAAGAATGCTAATACAATTAACAGCATTTTCTGTGAAGGTTGCCGACATGGACACAGTCTGCCTCTTACATAGGGTTATTTCAGGTAAGAATGTTGGCCTAACAAGGAGCCACGCTTAAAGTCCAAGAGTGTTTGACCTAGTGTGGTCTTTCCCTTTCTCAGATGGAAACCTGCAATCTTCTAGGAATGCCACAAGCAAGATGATAAAGTCCACTTATGGTTCAAGACTTCTTATTCTCATGTGCCAACTTTGTGACCAGTGGTTCTATCTTTTTGTTTGTTTGTTTCATTTTGTTTTGTTTTTCGAGACAGGGTGTCTTTCTCTGTATTGTTTTGGAGGCTGTCCTGGAACTCGCTCTGCAGACCAGGCTGGCCTTGAACTCAAGAGATCAGCCTGCCTCTGCCTCCCGAGTGCTGGGATTAAAGGCGAGCGCCACCAACGCCTGGCTCTATCTTTTTAAAATTTAAATTAGAAACAAGTTTGCTTCACTTGTCAATCCCCGCTCCCTCTCCTCCTCCCACACCCCCACAGTGGTTCTGTCTTAACAGGTGTTAATACTATCCTCCTCAACTCAAGAATCTCCCTAGGATGCCAGTTACCCTAAAGGAGGGGGAAAAAACCATTTTGCTGTTGTTTCTGAGACAGTTTCTCGTGTCCCAGGCTGACCTTAGCTTTGCTGCATAGCTGAGGGTGACCTTGAACTCTTGGTCCTCCTGCCTTTGTCTCCCAAACACCAGGGTTTCCAGTGTCACCATGCCCAGTTTATGCAATGCTGGGAACTGAACTCAGGACCTTCTGCATGCTAGAACTCCATCAACTGAGTCACACCCCAGCTGAGGGGAAAAATTCTTAGCCACTTTTTGCGATATAAATTGAGAGGCTGCCAGGCATTGGTGGCTTATGCCTTTTTTTTTTTTTTTCTGGGATAGGGTTTCTCTGTTTTTTTTTTTTTTTTTTTTTTTTTTTTGAGGCTGTCCTGGAACTCGCTCTGTAGATCAAGCTGGCCTCGAACTCACAGAGATCCTCCTGCCTCTGCCTCCTGAGTGCTGGAATTAAGGGGGTTAGCCACCAAGTCTACAGCCTGGTCTACAGAGTGAGTGCCAGGATAAGTTCCAAAGCTACACAGGGAAACCCTGTCTCGGAAAACAAAACAACAAAAAACAAACCAAAACAACAACAACAACAACAAAAAACAATAAATTGAGAAGCCACCTAAATCAAAATCATACATATGACTATTGTTAAGGCATTTACTAAACTGGAGAGATGGTTCGGTAGTTAGAAACACCTGTTGCTCTCCCACAGGACCCTGGTTCTATGCACAGCACCCTCGTGGTGACTTACAACTACCTGTAACTCCAGTCCCGGAGCTTCTTATGACTCTTGTGGCCTCTGCACACATATGGTGCCCGTATACACATGCAAGCAAAACACCTGTACGCAGGAGTAAGATTAAGCCATTCAAGTGTGCTTCTCTCTCGAAAACCCACAGCCACTTGGGTATATGCTATCTTTTCCTTGAGTGCCTCTCTTTTTGTTATTTTGTTGTTGTTAATTCCCTGCTTAAATCCATGGTAAAATCTTTCCTTGATAAACTCCAACTGTGTTTCATACTGGCTCACAGTGAAGTTCTTTGCTGCCTCCAAGTCAAGAATCCTGCGTTGGCTGGGTGTGGTAATGCAGGCCTTTAATCCCAGCACTCAAGAGGCAGAGACAGGCGGATCTCTGTGAGTATCCGGCCAGTCTGGCCTATGTGGCCATTCCAGACCAGCCTGCTTCCCCTGAGCAGAAAAAAAAAAAGGTCTTCTGGTTACTGCACACAGCCTCATGGGGCCTTGGATCCTGTATCTCATAGTGGCTGACAAGGTCAACAAGTCCATACCTGACTGCTTCAGGCACCCTCATGACCCACCCCGTGGCCTGCCCCTCCCCCAAAGTTCCCTTCAGGAAGATGGTATCCTTCCAGATGGCCTCCCTGGGGGCTTCTCCAGGGAATGGCCCTTCCTTCTCATCATTTCTTAACTATCACATCCCCAAACCTCCCCCACCCATTTTATTTTTGCTCTTGTTTTTGTGTTTGTGACAGGGTACCTCTGGGTAGCTCAGGCTGACCTCAAACCCATGACTCCAACCCCCACACCTCCCGAGTGACATAGGCATATGTCATCAAACTTGGCGCCCTCTTGTTTTGTTGGAGAAAAGATCTTGGTGGCCCCTGGTGGGCTCTTCCTGCCTCAACCTTCTAAATTCCCTAGATTCCGGAATTGCAGCACCTGTTCTGGCTCTAGCACCTGGCCCTTTAAAACTCCCACAAGCCTGCCCTCTATCCCTCCGACTCAGCCCTGTGATGGGAAAGTTGAGTCAAAGGCATGCTCCAAGATGCCGGAGTTAAGTGTGCAAAGGTAAACAAAACTGATGGGGGAGGAGGCTATGGCTCAGCAGGTAAAGGTGCTTGCCTAAAATTCTGAGCATCTTGAATTCAATCCCCAGGACTCAGGATGGAAGCAGGGTTGCCCTCTGACCTCCACTTGTGCTTGCAATCTCAGTTCTGGGAAGCAGGAAGAACTCTAGTTTGAGGCAGAGGTCTGGGGTAGTGCTGAGTATTGGAGGGGCAGGGAGCTGGGTACTGAGTAAGGGAGGGGCAGAGGTCTGGGGTAGTGCTGAGTATTGGAGGGGCAGGGAGCTGGGTACTGAGTAAGGGAGGGGCAGAGGTCTGGGGTACTGAGTATTGGAGGGGCAGGGAGCTGGGGTACTGAGTAAGGGAGGGGCAGGGAGCTGGGGTACTGAGTAAGGGAGGGGCAGAGGTCTGGGGTACTGAGTATTGGAGGGGGCAGAGGTCTCCGGTGCTGAGTATGGGAGGGGGCGGAGGTGGAAGGGGTTGGAAGTCCGGGCACTGCTCAGTATAGAAGGGGCAGAGGTCTGGGGTACTTCCGGGTGGGTCAGGAGCTCTCTGCTGGTAGATCATCTGTATAGATGAGAAAAGAAACAAGCATACACCAGGTTCTTCTAGCTTGGGCAATTGAGTGAATGGGGAGGGCTGTTGAGTCTGCCTATGCTGGGAACTGAGTATACAAGAAGGAACGTGACCTACCTAGCCGGGCCCCTAACAGAGCTTGCATTCCAGATGGATGAGTGCATGGTAGATTCCTGTTGCACGTCTGGGAAGGTCATGAGCTGAGCACACAAAGAATGGAGGAGGCTCCTGGGAACGTGGCTGAGGAGGAGATGCTGTAGCTTAGAACGGAAGGCTGGGAAGCCAGGCCCTGATGAGGCTAGGCCTAGTGCGAAGCTCTCTTCCCTGTCAAGATGAAAGGACCAATGTAGCTTGGCAAAGGCAAAAGGGTTTTCAGTTGCTTAAGCTGGCCTCCTGACCCTCCTGCCTCCGCTTCCCAAGTGCTGGGATCACACATATGCACCTGGCTCCTTGATCAAACCTTCAGGCAAGAAGTCTGGGTGTGGTTCTGAGGACCCAGAGGAAACACCTATAGTGTTGGATGTACCACGCCAGGGACCCAGGAAGGAGGCATGAGGAGAGGCTTCATAAGTTTGATGGCCTGGGTTTCTCTCTGGATGGGTTGCTCTCATTCAGGCGTGCGTGAGTGCGAGGGGCGAGCCGTCTGCATGGTTGCTCATCCAGACCAGATGAGGAGAGACCAGAGAAGTCAGACAGCAGAGAGAGAATGCAGGGCCTATGGGAAAAGGGAAGGGGCGATGGCATCACCTGAAGGTTCTGCTAAAGCACAAGCTATGGAGCTCCAGGTGCCCCACCCCCAGCTTCTAACTCAGTGGGTTTAAGGTTGAGGCCTGCTGATTTCACTTTTGACCATTCCCTGGTGATTAGATGCTGACTCAGAGACCATGATATTTCACAGCAGGGAGGAGGGCCCAGCACCCAAGGATAAACAGGGCCATATGGAGCAGTGGTTCTCAGCCTGCATGTTGCCACCCCTTGACCCCCTTTGAGGGGTCAAACAATCCTTTCACAGGGGTGGCATGTCAGATATCCTACATATCAGACCTTTACTGCTGTAAAGGATGGCTAGGGCAGGAACAGGTTGTGTAGGGAAACTATGGTGTGATATCACTTGATACCCATCCTCCCTAGGATGTTAGAAGCCCAGGGGTGTTCGGTCTCCATGGTCTTTCCCACACTAGCCCTGCCTAGGTTCGGTAGGCAATAATTGTAGTTAACTGGAAAAAGGACTGAATTCACAGAAGAGGAAGTTTGGGAATGCTCCATAAAGGCTAGCAGGATCCGAACTCAGTATCCTTTACCATAATTTCCCCAGAAAACTGAGGTCATCAGCCAGGAGCTGCTTCAACCCCCATTCTCTGTTCCTTTATTTCCTTAAGGGAGAGATGATAGTTAACAGCACCATGCCCCACTGGCTAGCCCAGTCCCTCCTTGAGCACCAGACCCCACCCCTTTCTGTGCCTCTAGGTTTGTTCACTCTCTCTGCGGCCTTCCTTCTCTTTCTTTCAATTGGCAATCTCCTATGGCAACAATACCAATTTGCTGTGTCCTGAGATGGATTCCAGGGAATCTACTTGTTACCACTGCTACTGTAGCCATGTCTCTGGGAATTCCTGATCTCCATCACTGGCCCTCTGGTGAGTCCATGTCTACCCTTTGGTGATCCCCAAACCTATGCGGCCATTGTTTCATCCAACCGAAATTTCTGTAGCTAACATCTTATGCTATTGTGCTAGCAATGGGATACAATGGCAGACAGAATGTTGTCTTATCCATGCCAAGTGCACACTCTCCCTCAGAGCTATACCCCATGGAGACAGTGACTGGAACTTGGTGTGGGTCCTAGTCTAGGGTGACAGATGTACTAGAACCAACAAAGGTGCCAACTGCAAAGGACACCAGAACTGTCATGAGAAATCTTCTTCAGGGAACAGTGATCCTAAAAGGTGTTTAAAGAAGTACTGAAGTCGGGGGAGACAGCTCTGTTAATAAAATGCTGGTTTTACAAGCGGGAGGACTGGAGTTTGACCCACAGAACGTATGTAAAAAGGCATGGTGGCCTGTGTTTGTGATCCCTGTGCTGGGGAGGTAAAGGCAGATGGATGCCTGGCTAGTCTAGCCTAATCATAAAGCCCCAAGCCAAGAAAACACTGTGGACAGTACCTGAGGAATGACACCCAAGAGGACCTCTGACCACACATGCACATGTACACACACACACACCACACACACACACACACACACACACACACACACAGTTCAGGAGAGGTCATTATTTTGATCTAAGCTCCTGAATTGAGCTCCAACTGTCTAGGGAAAATGTAAAAAATGGATCACTCATGCTAAAGGCCCATATTACTAAATTGAAACTAAGATTTTTTTTGTGTGTGTGCCTAATAATTCGGATTTAAAGAGACAACAGCTGAATTTCTCAAACATGCTAGTTAATCCTTACACAAAATAGCTGAGGTAAGCTGAGGGTAATCAATCAGCTGTCCCCCAACTGTCTCCTTGTCTCTGCCGTACATGGACAATTAATTTTGTTCTGCTTTTCTTTCTTTCTTTTTTTTTTTTAGTTTTTCGAGACAGGGTTTCTCTGTGGCTTTGGAGGCTGTTCTGGAACTAGCTCTTGTAGACCAGGCTGGCTTTGAACTCACAGAGATCGGCCTGCCTCTGCCTCCTGAGTGCTGGGATTAAAGCCGTGCGCCACCTTGCACCACCACCGCCCAGCTGTTCTGCTTTTCTTAACCCTTTTCTGTCTACAGAAGCAAAGTATTGTGTTCAGCATAGCATTCTATTTTATGGAACCAAGTGCTGTCTGACTTTAGAGCCAAAAACAAAACCAATGGAGACAGATAAGCTAAATTGCTGTGAAATGTCCAGGCCAAGGCATTGGAAGAATGAGAACGAAGCTGACCACTGCGGTCCACACCTGTTTCCCTGCAGCTTCCCCGTCACTCAGGGGCTCGAACAAAAACCATGCACAGGGATGGGTAGGTGTGGATGTGGTGGTGTGCCCAGTGCATAATCGGTTCTCACAGTCGAACGGGGAAATGGAAGTGTTTACCTCCTGGTAGCCTGGTGAGCTGCAGGATAGAGTCTGTATGTTCTTGTGAAAGCTGCATAAACACTAAGGAGATTTAATGGGTGCTAAGCAGTTAAGTTTAAGGAGGAAGTCGGGCGTTGGTAGCACATGCCTTTAATCCCAGCACTCGGGAGGCAGAGGCAGGCAGGTCTCTGTGAGTTCAAGGCCACCCTGGTCTACAGATCGAGTTCCAGGACAGGCTCCAAAACAATACAGAGAAACTCTGTCTCAAAAAACAAAACAAAAAAGCTTAAAGAGGTTTCCAACTTAGCTTGCTTGTTTTTAAGAGTAGCCTGAAACTACCTGGCTAAGAATGATCTTTGTCAGGGTGAAAACACAAGGCTCACCTCAATGGAGATCAAAGATGGTTTATTCTGTCTCAGATGGTGGGCATCCGAGGGACTGCTCCTTATGATGATGTCCCCTTGAAAAGCTGTGTACCGTTCCGTCTGACCCAGGAATGGGGTATGGATAAGTCTATGGGATTTTTGCCCCTGGTTCTTGCACTTGCCAAACACTAAGCAGTTACTCAGCCTCTCGAGTCTAGGGTCCCTCCCCCTGCACAGAGGTGATGATGCTACACACTCTACCTGTTGAGAGGATTCAGTGAAATGATGTGTGCAAGCTTAATAAATGCCAGCGATGGCTATTATTAGCATTAGTGTAGGCAGCGTGAGAGTAAGAGCAAGGAGATAGTTAAGTTTCAGCCCACGCTTGCTGGCTTTCGTGACTTGGCTCGGTTCTCCAGGCTGAGAATAGTGCCTAGCTTGTAGGTGACACTACATTGTGTTACGGATTTGTGTCATTATTTTCAAATAATAGTACTAGAGAAATGTTTCTGCAACTGTCGTGCTCTGAAGAGATGTTACAGGAAGTCTATGAGGTCTCAACTCTGCTTTGCAGTTTTCTATTGTGACATGGGTAGGAACACACACACAGACACACATACAGACACACACAGGGAAACACACCCAGGACATATACATACGCAGGAGACACACTGCCTTCCTCCCCCACTCTTCGAAGGTTTAGCCTTATTTATCTGCTCACAGAAACCTTGAAAATGCTACATTGTAATAACCAACCGTTAACTTGGCGCTGTGGGGAGGTTTATCTCTAGTCTCTCATCTTATTTCTGTTTTAGTGATGATGCAATCAAGGCCAAGAACTAGAAAATGGCTTACCCAGCTAATACATGGCTTAGTTTCTTCTGGACATCTGTTTGGGGAATTTGATCACTGCCCGCTTCATTTCCTATCTTAGACTTACTTTATTTCATATGTGCGAGCGCTTTGCCTGCACGTATGTATGACACAGAGGTCAGTAACTGCCAAGACTGGTGTTTGTGAACTGCCATGTAAATGCTGAGAATCAAACCCCAGTCTTTTGGCAGAGCAGCAAGTGCTCTTAACTGCCGAGCCCTGCCCCAGCCCCTTACTTCATTTCCATCTTCTAAAATACTGCTTTCTCTTATTGTTTAGTTTATTCATGAGTTTTTACTCATATTATTGTGTGTGTGTTTGATGTATACGGGGGTGCACACATGTGACGGTCAGGACAGTGTTGTAGAGTCAGCTCTCTCCTTCCAGATTCTTATGGGTTCTGAGGACTTAAGTCAGGTCATTAGGCTTGCACGGCAAGCACTTTCCACCCCGAGCCACCTCCCCTGACTCCTCTGTCATTGTTCATTTATTTAGTCTGTCTTTTCATGGTGCTGAAATGAGAGCCTGTGCTTGCTAAGCTATTTTCTGGCATAAATACAGATAGGTGTGGTGGTGCACACCTGTAGGATCCCAGCCTAAAAGGAAGATCCAAGAATGCAGGGCCATCCTTGGCTGCATGAGTTCAAGGACAGCCTGGGCTACAGTTACATGAGGCCCTTAATAAAATAAAATAAAGTAAAACATAAAAGTACAGCTCTCAGCCGGGTGATGGTGGCGCACTCCTTTAATCCCAAGCACTCGGGAGGCAGAGGCAGGTGGATCTCTGTGAGTTCGAGACCAAGCCTAGTCTACCGAGGGAGTTCCAGGACAGGCTCCAAAACAGTACAGAGAAACCCTGTCTTGAGGGGAAAAAAAAGTACAGCTCTTTATCACTTTCTCTGGGAAGCCTTTCCCAATTATCACCTTTGTGTAAATTATGTTTCCCTTTCCCTTTGCCTGAGAGCCCCATCTGTGGCACTTAACTCCATAAGCCTTGGTAACAGATGGATGTAATCAATTACCCAGTAATTGCCATGAGACTGAGTCACAGGGAAAGGTGATGCCTTATTTGTTTTGGTAGCCTAGGTCCAGCCTGGGTCTAGCCTGGGTCTCTTCCAGCAAGACAATAGCAGTAATGAATTCCTTTACCCATATCCTTGATGGCTAAACATGATTTTTGCAGGCTAGTTCTAGCTTTTAATAGTCTGGTTCTTGGTCATGCTACACACTTAATGCCAGTTTCAGATCTGGAAATTAATGGTGGCTCATTCTCAATCATTTTCTAACTAACTGTAAAGGCTTCCTCTCCTCAGTGTGACTGGGGAAGGACTTCTACTGACTACTTGCTTTTATACCCCTCTAGTGCTGGGATTAAAGATGTGAGCTATAATTCTCTTTTAGACTGATTCATTCTTGTGTAGATCCGGGTGACCTTGAACTCAGAGAGATCTGTCTACCTCTTAATCCTGAGTCCTAGGATTAAAGGTGTGTGCCACCACCTCCTAGCTTCTGGCTGCTGGGATTAAAAGTGTGTTGCTGACTTTGCTTTGTGAATCCTCAGGTAAGCTTTAATAAATCATAAATAATATCACCACACCAGATTTCT